GGTAGACGAGAGCGATTTGGTCGAGGAGAAGACGATGAGAGGGATTGAGATGATGAAGATATGAATGATAGGTTAATCCGTGCCACCATTAAAAATTAAAAAAAAAGTAGCTACTCATTCCTTTTAATATTTTATTTATTTATTCATTTATTTTTCTTTTCTCTCGAAAGGAAGAATGTAATAATTTTGTAAATTTAGAATGGTGATTTATATATTATGATTTTATCTTTTTCAATCCAATTTTAGTTGATAGTAATCAAATAAGGTAGGTATAGGATGTAGGAGGTAAAAGTTTAAGTCAAAAATATTTTTTTTATGTCCTTCTTAATGATATTATATTACATTATTTCTGTGATATATTTTATAATTTATTTATTTATAACTAACTTTAAATTATAATTGTAATATAAATTATATTATAATTGATGGAATGTAGTCTTCTTCTTTTTTTTTTTAAGTAAAGTTCACATATATATTTAAAATAAGACAAAAAAAATATAAAATTAGGCATAACATTATATATAAAGGGAATCACAAAAGAAATTTAATGTATAGTTTACATTCACATAACATAGTACATAGTACGTCTTGAATTAAATTTTGCATGAAAAAATTTGTTCATATAATTTTTTTTAATTATATTTTTTTTCATATAATATAAAATTAATTTCTAAAAACATAATATAAATAAGAATAAAATAGTAAAACTAATGCCTTCTACTTAAAAAAAATAATTAAATTATGACATTTTACTCATTTATTATTTTCTAATATTTTCTTTATACTTTAAAATAAAACTACTTACTATTTTATTTTATTTACATGAACATAACTCAACTCATCAAGACATAATTTACATCTCAAAGATATAGGTACAAATTCTTTCATTCATACTAATTAATTAGGAGTATATATTTCTTATGTTTTATTTTTAAAAATATCACATTTATAAATAACAATGACGTGCTTCAAACAATTTTAAAATCATATTGAAAATTGAAAATTGAAAATTTATTTGTTATTTTTTAAAATTGACAAAAACATGAAAAGTATTTTTAAAAAGTACTAGAGAGTAGAGACTAAAGGAAACATTAGTAGACAAATTTATTAAGAAAGAAGGTTTTTTTTTTTTTTGGAAAAATATTAAGAAAGAAAGGTTGACTAAAGAGAAAATATTTATCAAAACAAGATGTTAAATTTTCAAATCAAATGTTAAGTATGCAAAACATAGTGAATTTCAATTCTAATTACAAATATGAATTTGACTCGAAATGAAATGTTAAGTTTTACATCTAAATTCAACCAATTTATAACGTAGAATCAATTATCCAATTACAAATCATGAAATTTGACCAAATTAAGATTCATTAGATGATCCCATTTTGTATAATGAACAAAACAACATTTTTGTTGAGATTGGAAGTTTTTGTTTTGTAAATAATTAGGTTGTTGGTGGATATATATCAAGAATTCCAAACACTAGAAGGTGTAACGTAGAATGCCAAATTTTGACATGACATTTCATGTTTTTGGACATTAAACATCAAATTTCCTTTCTTTTTCTGTCATCCAATAATTATAATCTTATCCCTATGCTGGAAAATCCTCTTCCATTAACTACTTTTTCTTGTAGGGATGAGTACATATAGTGTATTTAGGAATCAAGTGTATTTAGGAATCATGATTACGTACAAGAATGAAAAAGTATAGAATTTACGTTTTTGTCATGAAACAATCACTAATTAGATGGTCATAACACAAATTACTGATATATCTATAAGATTCATATCAATATTAAATAATTATTGAAATATATAATTAGTAAACTRGGGGAAATCCCTTAAAATGGGCTAAATCCATTAAATTCCTTAAAATTTACACTTTCCAAAATTGAAAAAATCCTAAACCTCCAAATTTTCGAAACTTCCGTTCTTCTTCCTCGCCTTTTTTCCTTCMTCCGACCGTCGTCGATGTCTCCCTTCCTCTCCGGTGGTTCCGCTTTTCTTTGTTGCAGATTATTTCATCTCCGGCCGCCTTCACAAGAGTATTTCATCTTCGGCCGCCTTAGCAAGAGCATTTCATTCTGTCGATTCCTATTCTCAGATAATTTCTGCCTGCATTTGTCGCCGACTGACGTCCTCCATTTTTCTCAGTCGCCAGAGCAGTTCATCTCCAATTTGAAGGGTTTGCACTCAATCTGATAAGTTTCAATTTCTGATTTCATTTGTTTGAAATACTATATATGTGAGAATATATTAGTGATTAGATTAGGATATATATTATAACTCAAGTTTTATATATCCAAATATATACTGATGGTGATTTAAAACTAAAAATCTGGTGGATATATACTGCCTACAGTATTATATTGGTGAATATATACCGTTAGTGATTTACATCTTGGCTTTATGATGTTTCTATTATTTTGTGGATATATACTGATAATGATTTACATCTTGGCGGCCTACAATATTATCCTGGTGGATATATAATGATAGTGATATATACTGATGGTGATTTACATAATGTCTACAATATTTACATACTGCATACATACTAAAAGTGTCTTATGGTACCTATCTAGCTTTAAGTATTAACTAGTTTGAATTRCAGCAATAACTAAAGGAGAAAGTTGTAAGATATCGAAGTTTATATAAGATTTAGATTATATCTGGATAAATTTTATATCTCGAAAAGTTTAGTCTATGTTATASTGAATATATTGTATATTCAATATGYTATACTTACTACATTGTCTTATATAATTTTATGGATATAGTGATAAAAGTACATTTACTTACGTGGGTAWAAATTATATCTTACTTAAAAGGCATTTATACATAATGTTAATAGTAGATTTTAAAAGTACAAGTAGAATATATGTTATAGTAACGAAACAACATGAACATAATTTATACCCATGTATAGAAATAGCTAAACTGTAATTTAAAAAAAGAAAATAGCATTCATTCATATCMATATTTTCTTCGATGTATGGATAAACTGTGTTTTTCTTCTCCTTTGAATATTGACGTCAATCAACACGTGCTTCCCGTTAATTATCTTCTGTTAAAGGATAAATAACACAAAAATAATAATAATTAGACATTTGAAAACCAGCGGGAGCCATAGATGACCTCAAACACAGTAGAAATAAGACCTTGCCAAATTAATCAGCATCTAAACCTCATAAAATTGATTTCATTAAAACAAACCTTGCACTCAAACAACACAATAAAACAATGTGAACGACAATGCAAATATTGAAGCAATATGAGTATGAATGAAAGAATGAATGAACTGTATCTGATGAAATATTCAAGCAATCAAATAAAAAACTAAAACTCAAAGAATGGATATAAAGAAGAACCGTACCAGCCAAGCGAAGAAATGATGATGATTAGAAAATGTTGTGCCCACAATAATTAAGATTTGAATATTTTTTAATTAATAATATTGGTAAATAAAGAAAATCAATCTTTTYTAAATGAGTAAATTGAGGTGTTGAAGGTGTGAATTAAGGGATTTGAATTGAAAATTAATATGGGGCCCACAATAATTAAAGGATTATTATACAATCATTTATGGAATTAAATCTTTTATATTTAAAAAAAACAAATAACTATAATAAATGTAAATGCAATAATTAAGGGTAAATTTGGAAATAAAATAAAATCCTACGTCTAGAATCTAAAAGTGTAAAAATTTAGACATTTATATAAATAAGTTTCTAAAACAGAACTCTAAACATATTATCTCTTCTGGTTAGCATCTTTATAAAGAAGTATTTAAAGAAGTATTCTGAACTTTAATGTGGAAGCACGGTAATTTATTTGACAATTAATCTTTATCTATTTTCTAATAACAAAAATATTTTTATCATATTTCATATTGATTTTGATGTGTCGTTTCCTTTCAATGTGAATTCAACATCAGATTTTAAAAAGTTTATCTAAGYAGAGTTCAAGTAGTCAAAGAGTAATGCCTCATTTTGTCCGTTGCAGATTCAAAACCTTCTCTCCTTATTTATTGGAATGTAATACTCAAAAATCGTATTAATTTTTAAATAACCAAAAAAAA